GCATGTGGTGCTGGGGGATTGAACCGCGGTCCCTGTGCTGTGCTAAGCTTGTTCTAAGTAGGTGCTTTAGACCACTGAGCCATCTCACCAGCCCCTGAAATTTAAATCTTAAGAGAAGTTTTACTTTGAGAAAATGTTCTCAAGTTGAGCTATTATGTTCTGTCTCTCATATTCTTTTCATAGTGGTAATAGCTCTTGTTGGATTATAAAATCTGTATAGGATATGTGTCCTTATAGTGAGCCCTTTCAGAACAGGGATTGGGTCAAGGTGAAGGTTTTACTTGCTGAATGTTCAGAATGAATGCTAGAACTAAGGCAGGCAATGCATACCTGTGGTCTCAGCTACTCAGGAGGTTGAGGCAAGAAGATGACTTGAGTCCAGGAGCTCAAGACCAGACTGGGAAATACAGTGAGACTCTCAAAAACATATAACTCTACAACAACAAAAACTGCTAGGCAAGATGCTAATGCTTCATGTAATTCCTGAATTTCTGGATTGGGCTCCTAGGACTGTAAAAATAAGCATAGTACGTATGTGTGTGTGTGTGTGTGTGTTGATTTGATTTGATCTAGTGTTTCTATTTGTTGTCCCAAAGCCAACAATTACCCATAACTGAGTAGCAATATCCATGAAAATTTTAATAAATTACATGTAAAAAATAAATTACAAGATGTAACTAGTAAGTGACATTTGAGGATTAACACTTGGTTTACTCAAATTCTAACATTGAGCATGGAACACATTACCCATTTGAATTAAATTATATTTAACATGTCCTTTTGTTGATTCTAGTGCAGCTGATTTTACATTGTACTTGTGCTTCTGTTGGGCAAAACTAAATCCATCTCTTGGTTACTCCCTTCTTATAAGAGGGAATTAACAGGTTATAAGTGGAAATGAACATTCTCATGACTCAGAACGGTTAATGAAAATCTGATCTTTGCTTTGTGGGCTTTTCACCATTCGTTGATTAATAAAGTACAAGAAGATGGCAGTTTTAAGCACCTACAAAAAGAAATACTTGTATTGTCTAATTGTTAAACTTGCCTTACTTGATTTCCATGTTTCTAGAATGGTAAGATGTTTTTCTTTATTTTTTTATTTTATTTTATTCATTTGTGTGTGTGTGTGTGTGTGTGTGTGTGTGTGTGGCCAGCTCAGCCCACCAGGGGGCAGGCTGGCTGGCATGTGGTGCTGGGGGATTGAACCGTGGTCCCTGTGCTTTGCTAAGCTTGTTCTAAGTAGGTGCTTTAGACCACTGAGCCATCTCACCAGCCCCAGATGTTTTTCTTATTGCATCTCTAACAAATAGTTTTGTTTTGAGGTAGGGTTTTACTATGTACTCAGGTTTGCTTTGAACTAATAATCCCCCTGCCTTGGCCTGCTGAGTATGTTCGAGGTTTTGTTCCTGTCTCCGTGCATGCAGTATATGACACTTTTAAAATATTTTGTGACTGTCCCACAGAACTTAACTGAGTTTCCTTGTAATTAGACTTGGGGGGCATGTTTGGTTTTTTTTTTTTTTTTTTTTTGGAAAGTAGAGCACAAAGGTAAAATTTTGTTTTTGTCGCATACTGTATGTATACTGTCAACTTGAAGTTGACTTTACTCACCTGCTTGAAGTACTCTTACCAAGATTCCCCAGTAGAACATTACTTTTTCCCCTCTGCCCATACTGTGCTCTTGGGAATGAACTCCCTACCTAAGTATGGGGAATTTATACTGCCACTTTATGTGGAGGAGCTTCATAAGGTATTTGGAATTTTATTTTATTTTTTTGTGGTACCATTGATCGAACACAAGACCTTATGCTTGCCAGGCAAGCACTTACTCCACTGAGCTCTCTCCCTGGCCCCTGGAAATCTTACTTTTGAGAGACTTCACTCCCACTTACTCAGTTGTTTATATCAATGTGGTCTGAAAACTTTATTGGAATATTTTATTGTTGTTGTTTTCTTTTTCTTTTCTTTCTTTCTTTTTTTTTTTTTGCGGAACCAGGGATTGAACTCAGATCCTTGCACTTGCCAGGGAAGCACTTATTCTACTGAGCTATCTCCCTAGCCCAAAGAGGAAGGGTTTATTTTGGTTTTTTTTTTTTTTTTTTTTTTTTCCCAGAACCAGGGATTGAACTCAGGCCCTTGTGCTTGCCAGGCAAGCGCTTTTTCTGCTGAGCCATCTCTCCAGCCCTGTTGTTGTTTTTGAGACAGGGTTTTATTGTATTGTCAGGCAGGCCTTGAGTTCACTGTGGATAGCCCAGGCTGGCCTCAAACTCATGACAATTCTCCTGTCTCAGCCTCCAGATTGCTGACACGATGCCCAGTTGGAACGTATTTTTGATATAATAGAAATTAATCATTATTCAGTTGAGGTTTTCTTAGCTTTCTGCTTTGTGCTTTGAAACAGGAATGGTAATATTGTTAATATACAATTGGAGTTTATGTTGTCTAGATTACTTACTTATAGAAAAAATTCTTAATAGCTAGAACTCATACAGCTTGCTTGGGATCATGTGATAAATAGATAATTGTCCCCAGCAGTATTTAGGAATTCATGTAAAATTCTGA